TAAATGTAATTATTACATGGATTAAGGGTTATTCGGGAATAAAAGGCAATGAAATCGTTGACAATTTGGCTAAATCGGCATATATGCTTGCAGAAAAAGCAAACAAAAATTAAATCCCAGCTGACAGATGACACCGTTAGTAGACAAAAACTTAAAAATAATTGGTATTTACATTACAGAGAATGTAAGACTGGCTTAAACTGCTATCATTGTAACCCTAGGATACCCTCAAAAAGATGGTTTTACACAGAATCTAATCGACATTTTATAAAGACCATTAATCGGCTGAGAGCAAATCATGCTCTTACGCCATCTTAAATGCATGAAATCAGCTTATCAAATACTCCCAATTGTACTTGTGGCAAAATAGGCGATTTAACACATATTATTTATTTTTATTTATTTATTTTTACGCACAACAGGCCGTTAAGGCCTAGGGCATTTTTTTACAATAATCCTAATATTAACTAATTACAATTATTTTAAACATAACTTTAACTTAAATATGTATATATAACATTCTTAACTACTCTGAAGAGACCTGGTGTACAATATTTCTCCATTCGCTTTTATTTGTGCTTTTATTTTCCAGTCCCTCACCTTCACGTGTTTAAGGTCTTCCTCCGCTTTACTAATCCACCTCGTTCTGGGTCTACCTCTTCTTTTGGGGCCGATTAATTTTCTGGTTATTACTAGTTTAGGCATTCTGTTTGCTGCCATTCTTTCCACATGTCCCAACCATCTGATTCTTTGTGCCTTGACGAACTTGGTAATGGTGGGTTCTTTGTATAAAGCCATTAATTCATTGTTGATTCTTCTCTCCTAACCATCTTCTGTCTTCATCCTCCGATATGCGTCTCAATAGTTACCTTTTCCATCTTTCCAGAGTATCCTCTTCCTTCTTATTTAATGTCCATGTCTCACCGGCATATGTTTACTGTGGATCGAATTACTGTTTTATACATTCTGAGTTTACCTTGTCTAGAAACGTATTTTGAATTCAGTGTGGCTCTTAAACTACCTAATTTTTTATTCCCTTTTGCTATTCTGGCTTCGAGCTCCCATTTTTCTTTTCCATTTTCATCGAAAACTACACCCAGGTATTCAAATTTGTCCACCCTTTTAAAACTATAGCTTTTACCACTTACTGACCTCACACTTAGTCTTCTTTTTTTTCCTTCTGTCCCTCCATGATCATATATTTGGTTTTGTCTTCATTTAGTTCCAATCCAAATTTCTGTGTTTCTTCGATGATGTTCTTCACAACTCTTCTTAATTCTTTTCTCGGTTTTTGCTAGGATCGTTAGATCGTCAGCAAATGCCAAGCACTGGTGCTCATTTTTCATGATAGTTTCTTTCACCTTCATGCTGCATTTTCTGATTACAGTTTCTAACACTAAGTTGAATAATGTAGTGGATAAAGGATCTCCCTGTCTCAAGTCTTTTGCAACCGTAAATTGATATGATATGTGACCCTCCCAAGCAATTTCACACGTAGAGTTATTAAGTGTCATTTTAACTAGCCGGATCAGTTTCTTTGGTATACCAAAATGTTCCATTGCTCGATACATTTTGACTCTATCGATTCTATCATATGCTTGTATAAAATCCACAAACAAAAACATGCAGGGGAACTTTACCTTCATAATAAGTCGTTTGTATCTCCTTTAATGAGAAGATTTGGTCTACAGTAGATCTGTCCTTTCTAAAGCCGGCCTGATATTCATGCAGGATTCTTTGCGTGTAGCAATTTAGTTTATTTCTCAATATTCTTGCCAAGATTTTGTATACCGTGTGTAATAAGGCTATACCTCTATAGTTGTCACACTTCAGTTTGTCTCCTTTTTTATGCAAAGGGCATATGCGGGCCTCATACCACTCCGATGGCATTACTTCCTTTTCCCATACTTGCACTAGTAGCTGATATATTTTTCTTTGTAGTTGTTCTCCACCAAACTTGATCATTTCTATGCATATGTCATTTTTACCAGGACTTCTGTTATTTTTCATTTCTTGTATTGCTGTCACTACCTCCTCCTCTGTAAGCTGCTTTTCCACTATCGCATCTTCAACAACTGTCTAGTTGTCTACTGCTTCGTGGTCCTCCTCACCATTTAATAATTCTTCAAAATGTTTTTTCCATTTCGTCAATATTTCTGCCAGATCGCTAATAAATTTCCGTCTTTACCTTTCATATAACTACAGTGGCTTTGGTAACCTTTTCCCATCTTTTTAACTTCTTGATAGAACGACCTCACCTCTTTGTTTTTAAACTTCTCTTCTATCTCTTTTAATTTCAACTCATTGTGGTTTCTCTTTTTCCTTCTACACAGAGCTTTCAATCTTCCTCGAAAAATTCTATATTCTTGTTTTTTACACTCTCTATTACCTGTTAATATTTGTTGTCTGATCTTCTTCTTTTCCTTTGCTATCGCCTGACACTCTTCGTCAAACCAATCTTTGTTTGTACTTCTTTTGGAGTCGCACTTAACTATTTTCTCGCTAGCTTCTCCTACGGCAGTTTTAATTTGTTCCCAGGCTTGATCTGTCTGTAAATTTTGGTCAAATTGTTGTAGATTTTTTTTTATTTCTTCTTCATATTTATTTTTTATTTCTACTTCCTTAAGTTTTTCAATATTGTACTTTCTCTTCGTTTTATTGTTCGATTTCTCTTTTTCTTCCAGCCTCCTCCCACATGTGACTTTAACGAGGTAATGGTCCGAGTCGATTTCAGCTCCTCTCATACTTCTTACCTTCTAAACGATATTCATATATTTACTTTCAATCATAACATGATCTATTTGATTCACCGTCCTTTCATCTGGGGAGCTCAAGTGCCTTTGTATATCTCTTTTCGTTTTAGTTGTGTGCTTCTCACCACCATGTTTTTCTCCATGACAAATCCAATAAGTCTTTGACCGTTATCGTTTGATACTTCGTGTTTACTGTAGTTACCAGTTACTGCAGTGTACAGAGATTCTTTTCCCACTTTAGCATTACAATCACCCATTATTATTTTTACATCACGTTTAGGTAGGCGCTCGTATTCATCATTTAGCTGTTCATAGTAAAGATCTTTATTTCGTCGTCCTTGTCTTCTGACGGTGCATGAATATTGATTATACTCCAATTCCTTTTCTTACTTTTATTTCGTATTGAACACATCCTATCAGAGATAGGATTAAAAGCTATCACTTTGTCCTTAAAACATTCAGCTACTAAAAAACCAGTTCCAAGCATTCTATCTTTACCTCCGCTTTTGAAAAGCACCATATCTTCTATATCAGTTATTTCCAATCCTAATTTTTTTTTATTAAATCGATTTTATACTTCCTTGCCTCATTCATTAGTTCTTGTAATGTAAATGTATCTTGTCATTCTTCGGTTTTGCCTTTGTATTACTGTCTTGTAGTACTTACTCACTTATTATATTAGAATTTTATTTGTATATGCATAATATGGAGATGTTCATATCCGGAAAATGCCAACCCCTAGTGTTAGCGAAACGTCGAGAACTAATCTCAGAACTAAAATCTATGAGGTAACCAGATTTCCAACACCACGATTTATACCCAAAGCATATGGACTTGCCTTTGTGTTGTTGTTTCATACCATGACGCCTATAGGATGGTATCATGGGATCGTCCAAGCTAGATTAGGTTTCCCATATAGTGTATTCAGTAAATGATTTGCGTAGGCTTTCAAGGTACGGAGAAATTTTGTATGTTTTGTCTGAATGATCGTTCAGATTTAGGTTATCGTTAAAATGAGAGAAATCTTATAATGGTTTAAAATTGGTCGCATATTACTTGAAATCAGTATATTTTTGACGTCATCAGATTCTTCCAGTACATGCGTCTTCTTAGATTCGTGCTGTACCCATTACTAGTAAAATTCCTATAAAGGCTTTTAACTCATCTATTCCAAATTCTAAGGTAGTACCTTTTTGAAAAGCATAACGAACTGTCTCCTTTACAATATTTGTTAAAAGCTCTTCATTGAAAAAAAAATCAAAGATCTGTAAAGGAGTGAGTGGTCGTGAATAAAATGAAGGAGTGTATGTGTTCCATTGAGTTTTTTATTTTCAATATTCTAATAAAGGGAATTTTCATCTGGTAAATCTCTCTGAATTCATTTCCGTAGTAGAAGAATTTCACTTTTTGCACGAATCTCAGTAGATTCCACTTGAATCATCTTGATTTTCTTCATTTTGTGTCTCTATTTCTATTTCCATCTCCATCTCTTCCGTATCTTCTTCTTCCTGAATTTGTGTCAAACTTTGAAATCGGCCTCTTTTTCATAAAGATTTATATTTTCTTCGTCGATCCTTCTTTCTTTTTCTTGATGAATTACAGCTTCTAATTCCGCATCCAACATATTTTTGTTTAGGTAATTGAATGTTCCTCCACAGTCTTCATCTCCACTATCTTCATCAGTCAATTCAGTGGGGTCAGGAGGTGCTAGGAAAACATCTGCACTGAAAGCCGACTCCATAAGATTCGATTCTTCCAGCATGGACATAATTTTAAAACTCTTAAAACAAACCACTCTCTCAAGATTGACAATAGGTTAACAATAAAGAATAATTCTTTTGAATATTTTGTTTAATAAAATCGCTTTCAACTTGTAAACAACAGCATCTATTTAATACCTGTAATAGACTACAATTATATTTGGTTTTATTTGTATATCTCAGAACTTAAAATTTCGTAGAGTGGAATAAGGCAAAATGATATTATAAACCAATATGTAAATCAATGACCGTCTGCAGCTTAATTAAAACAAAAAATAAATTTACGATCTATTTAAATTTAAATTAGAAGAGTTATTTATTCACTAATTTTGGAGTTTCGTTAGCATTCGCTTCATTCCTCGGCTTATTATTCATGTAGTCTGGGATATCGAGCAGACTTTGCATATATATGTAACATTACTTTTGATAGCGCTGCACCACATAATATAACGCCAATCTCTAAAGTCATTTCCTTAATTGTTTCCAGGTAACATCGGCTCGATGATATCAAACATGAACGTCGCCAGAGTCGATTTCCAGAACCGCATGGACGGCGTCAAGCAGTACATGGCATTCCGGAAAGTCGGGCGAGAATTAGAAGCTCGGGTAATACGATGGTTTGCGTATACGTGGGCAGAAAGTGGCGCCCTAGATGAGGAAAGGGTTTTGTCGGCATTGCCAGATAAATTAAAGGCGGAAATTGCCATTAGGGTGCATCTGGACACTCTCAGGAAAGTCCGGATATTTCAGGATTGCGAGCCTGGTCTCCTGGAAGCGCTCGTCCTTAAACTCAGATTGCAGGTAAATTATTCAGGATATAGGTTAGGCATCACATTTCTAGCTATTATGTTTTTATAATCATCTTTCTTATATCCAGTATCCTTTTGAAAGATAACAGTTTAGCTATTGTTTAATTTAAATATATTTTAAATATTTAAATTTTAATTCGTACCATTTTCTTAGATTCTAGAATAGTGAATGAAAGAGTTTATAAATTGAAAATAAAACGAATTTTTTCAATCTCTTAATTATCAAGCCGTCTGCCGACTGGACAACAAAATATTCAAATTAAAAAGAATTTTAATGAGCACAGAAATGAAATATAATGAGAACGGGAATTTTTAATTAATTTTGTTAATAAAAAAGACATTACATGCATACCTGGATATTATATACAAAGTTATATGGGTTATGCCTAGCGGACAATCCAATTGATCAAGACTTTATAAACAATAGGACCGTGACACTTATGCTAGATGTTAAATTTAAAAGCATGGTGCAAATCGAATTACTCCAAGAAAAGGTGAAATCTATGGTGCATTCAGTGTATCTTGATAAAGAGACTAAAGCAAAAACAAACAGCATAAGAGTTACTGATAAAAAAACTATGAAATCAATATCCAAGGCAGATGTACGGAAAAGAAATAATCCAAATACTGATGAACGTAGACATCTAGATAGTGAAGAATTAAACAAAAAAGTAGTCAACGTAGTAACAAAAAAAGAGGAAAAGAGCAGAGGTGTAGTTTAAAAAAGCAGAAACTCAAAATATAAAATAGTGGAGGGCCATAAAAACTATATCTCAAATAAGTATTTCATAATTTGGAGTCACTTAGTAACGTATCCAGAATTGCTGAAACTCAAAGAAAACTTAAAATGTTAACCAAACTATTCGACACAATATAAAATATTGAATACCAACCGCGTTATTATGATTATCAACTATAAGCAAGCAAGCAATTTAATTAACCCAGTCTGAGAGACTTGCACACCCCTTAGAATGACATTCATTTGTTACAATTCATTGAAGCGAGGTGTATTGATTCGTGTTATCAGAGACCGCTTAACGACTTTCCAATCTTCCAGGTCATCCCTTTCTCCCCTATAGCACTCTGATGTGCGATAGGGGCTAACTATCAACCAAATAATTTTCGTGTGGAAGTCCTGAGTACAAGAACTCACAACACGATATCCTAACCTTATCAAAGCAGCTTCGCGTAAGGCGCTCTTTTCCTGCTTACTCTAGTGACGTATCATCGAACTGAAATTGCTTGCTTGCTCGCCAGTTCGGCGACTCGGTGCTCGAGGATGTGGGCCCTTCGTGCCTAGGTTTTGGGGTTTTGTTAATTTTTTTAGATGGTTGTCGCCTTTTTTCATTAGTATTTTTTAGATTTTTGGTGGCTGAAGCCTTTATTTATTTATTATTTTTTTTTAAGGTTGTCCTGAAAACAAATATCAATTATTAAAATTTTAAGTGTTGTGTGCTGTGTGTTCTCTGTTGGTAGAGCTATGAAATATCTAGACTTTATGTGTATACCAGGATTTGCTGTTTTGGTCTTTTGTGCTTCCATCGATGGAACGCGTCATATCTTATCTCTCGCAGGCTTTGGTGATTCTCTAATTCTGCAAACCTAGTTCTGGCCTTTTCTACCATTTTATTAATCACCTTTACTTGTTGCAATTCTCTAAGCAGAAAGCGTTCAGCAGCGTATCTGGGTACATTTGCCGCTTCTCCGAGGATATTATTGTGAACTGATTGCATTTTCTTTTTATTTGAATGTTTTTATTTATGTTGTATAAACAATAAATTGAACTAAGTATAGTTAACAATTTTCTCAAACTTAGCACAGCAAAAGAACATGTGATAGTTGTACATGTATATAAAAATTATGTAAAAAAAAGTATAAAAAAAGCACATTAATGTGAAGAAGAACTAATAAGATCTAAGATGCACTTCCAACAGTATATCAATAATTAATGTTAAATTTTGACTTTAGGTAGCATTATTAAAGTATATATGTATATATGTATATATATATATATATATAATATATATATATATATATATAATATATATATATATAATCCCAAGATTCCTAAGAGGAACATAGGGCTTCCACAAAGTGTCTCCAGCGAACTCTATTTCTGGCTAGTGCTTTGATTTCAAGCCAGGATTTTCCCATTTTTCTCCCTTCGTCCAGTACTGTCCTTCTCCAAGTTCCCTTAGGTCTGCCTACTTTCCGTCGGCCTTGGGGATTCCAATCCAGCGCTGTCCTGGCAATGTCATTTGGCGGTCTACGGAGTGTGTGGCCCAGCCATCTCCATTTTCTTCGCCTTATTTGCTTTATGACATTTTCTTGGTTGCTTTGGTTCCATAAATTTTCATTGGAGATTCGGTTAGGCCAAAATATACGAAGGATTTTTCGTAACGCTCTATTGATGAAAACTTGTAATTGGTGTACTATGGGTGCTGATATCTTCCACGTTTCGCAGCCATACAGTAATACAGCTTTTACATTTGTGTTGAAGATTTTTAATTTCGTTTTAGTTGGGTAAATCCTGGATTTCCATATGTTGTTAAGCATGTTGTAGGCGTTGCGAGCCTTATTTATTCTTTCATGTACATCACGCTCTGTACCCCCATTACAGTCAATTATGCTGCCCAGATATACAAATTCCGCTACTCTCTCAATTTTCTGGTCGTTGATCATAATAGGTTGGTTGTTTCTGGTACCAAATCGCATTTCTTTGGTTTTGTTGATGTTTATTTCTAGACCAACCTTCTTTGATTCTTCTTGTACTTTGTTTACTTGGAGTTGCATGTCCTGTTTTGTATGTGCTAGGAGGCATATATCATCAGCGTAATCTAGGTCTTCCAGTCTGTTTGTTAATCCCCAGTAAATTCCTCTATTAGAGTTTACCTTTGTTAGTACGGAGTCCAGTACAATGTTAAATAGTATGGGGGATAAAACACAGCCCTGCTTTACTCCGTTTAGCATAGCTATTGGGTCAGATGTTATGCCGTTGTGTAGGATTTTGCTTTCTGTGTCAGTGTAAAGTTCTTTGATGAGATTTACTATTTTTTCTGGTATTCCTATTTCCCGCAGTGCTTTCCATATGGCCGTATGTGTGACCGTGTATTATTAAAGTGATTGATTGAAATTTAGTAATTTAAAAGTATAATGAAGTTACCACTACGAGCTTCTAGTCTGCTGCCGGTGAAATGAAAGGCAACAAGTATTAACAACGCCAACAACGTGAAAATACAGTGGCCTTGAGGTCAACGCATGACAGATCAACAAGGCGTAATACCATCTTTAATGCAATAGAGCGATTTATTTAAAAAATATGACAAATTTGGTTGACAACCTGTCTGTATAAACCAAAAAATGAAAGGAAAAGGTGGTTGAGAACACCATTTTCCCCAGTGATCGGTTGAGAGAAACAAAGAACAAACAAGCGAGGTCAATCCAAAAAATCATATATTAATAGTCTACGTTGTGGCTGGTTAGCCAGCCACAGGTGAAGATTGATTAAACTTCCAACAGTCCAAGGTTCATAACATTTGGAACTGAGATTAATAAGGATTCTATGAATCAATTATACTAATAAAGTTGTATTGAACTATTTGATTAGAAAACTAAAATAAATTGGAAGTGCATCTTAGATTTTTTAGTTCTTCTTCACATTAATGTATTTTTTATACTTTTTTTACATAATTTTTATATACATGTACAACTACCACATGTTCTTTTGCTGTGCTAGGTTTGAGAAAATTGTTAACTATATTTACTTCAATTTATTGTTTATACAACATAATCGTTTAATGTCCATTGTCAAAAGCTTCTTTACAATTTTAATATCATTGACTGCTACATGTCTTTTTGAGGTAACACACTTAATAACTTTTCTTTGGATGTTTGGTTGTTTATATTGTTGTTTTTAGATGAACTGATGATGCTTTCTGATTAGAAAGCGAAACGTCTTCAATAAATAGATGAAGTAGCCACCTTCTTTGTCTTTTTTTTCTCGACCTTTTGACCAAAAAAAAAAAAAAAATATATATATATATATATATATATATATATATATATATATATATATATCGGAAAAAGGAGTACGACCGTCAAATTCCAATATATAAAAGGATCACTCAACAGAGTGGTGGGCTCTTATATCGGTCAATTTGTAGGTGGAGAAATGAAAGACAAAGTTGATGTGCCACTCTATCTATTTTGAAAACGTTTCGCTTTCGTATTCTGAAAGCATCATCAGTTCATTCTAAAAAGTATAATATAAGAACCACACAATCATGGAAAAGATGTTACAGGTGTTACCTTAAAAAGACATGTAGCAGTCAAAGATGTTAACAAGCTTATGAATTAAACTTGAATAAATGGACAATATAAAGTAGAAATGTATAAACATTTAATTTACTAACAACATTTAGTGACTTATTAAAAAATTAGCACAATGAGTGACCATGTGGTCAAAAGTATAAAAAATATATGTTAAATTATAACGTAGTTGATGCAAAGAACTAAGAAAATCAACGATTAACTTCCAACAATAGATAATTATTAAATTTTAATTTTAACTTTTGGTAGCATTATTAAAAGATGTTAATATAATTTAAAAATAAAATAAGTGTAAAAGAATGAAGTTACCGGTCTAAGCCTTACACCTGCTACCAGGAAAATGGCGTTAGATTGAACAGACTGACACAGATCTACGAAAAGACAGCCAACCTTGAGGTTGAAATTATTTCAACAGAACAGCAAGGTCAGAGGTACCACCTCAAATAATTGAGCGGTTTATTTAAAAGTTAATGAGCTTTGGATGACAGCCCGCTTGTAAGAGACAATCCAATGAAAGAGACTGATATAGTAATAACAATCACTCGCATTAGCCCGTCTAAAAACAAACAAACAGGAGAATTTCATCCAAACTCTTATATTTAAATTTATGTTAAACATTGTGGCTGAAGAAATTTTTGCCAACAGGTGAATAACAATTAGATA